CAATAGAAATAAAAGATGGAAAATAATATAAGCTTGAAAATATTAGATAAACAACATTCTCTAAGGAGAATTTCCTCTATTACATAATTATCATGAAAAGTCATAAATACCCCCAAGGTGGGGGTGGGAGAACTGAATAAAGCATTACTTCCTGAAGATCACATTACTAACCAGAGCAATGGGCTTTGTTTTGAGGCTTTGCTCCTCAGGAAAGGATATTGTTTAAAGTATCAAACACAGTAATAATTCATCAGGAGGACTATCAGCAAGCAGGCAAGGATTTTCAAAGCTTAGTTTGTTTTTCCAGTGGAATAGGACTTTTCCAGCGAAGTGATCAGAATGCTTTGAACATTTTAAATCTAGCCACAGGGTCTTCTTTTTGCTGTGGATAGTATCTAGAATTGCTTCATCTGGTGTGTGAAATCCTTTTACTGCAGAATACTTTAACTCATTAGGACCAAAACCCAGCAAGGTTCAGGTTTGTTTGTCCTCCTGAAATGTACAGGTTTTAACAATATATTTCTCCCTCCTTGGAAAATGTGGTAATGAAACAGTATTACATAAGTTATGATAGTTATACTTAATAAGTGATCCTCTTTCTCACCATGTCCTCATTATGATTAGAATAAGGGCCAACTGTGCCCTTTCAATTTGTCATCATTATATTTGATTAATCATAAGTAGAGATTACGTCCCTGAGATAAATGTCCTTAAAGAAAGAAAAGGAAATAGGATGTCTGCAAAATAGAGAGGAACCATATAATCAGGTAAACCATAAAGCTCCTGGTTAAAAAAAATAAAATAAAATTGAGGTTTACACACCAAAATTTGTTTTTTTATCTCTCTCAGGAGCAATCCAGTTATTTTCCTTTCTTCCTCCCTGAAGCAACTTCACTCTACAAAGTTGCAGAGCTTGTATATTGTCTATAACAGTGATGGCAAACCTTTTGAGCTCGGCGTGCCAGCATTTTGAAAAACCCTAACTTAACTCTGGTGCCGTGTCATATATAGAAATTTTTTGATATTTGCAACCATAGTAAAACAAAGATTTATATTTTTGATATTTATTTTATATATTTAAATACCATTTAACAAAGAAAAATCAACCAAAAAAATGAGTTCGCTTGTCACCTCTGACACGCGTGTCATAGGGTTGCCATCACTGGTCTGTAATAATATTATAAATCAAGTTGCTGATACTTATTTTGATTCTAATATATTTTCATGAGACACAATTAGTAAAGGATTAGACTGTAAGGGAGATGGAAGCACAAATGTATGTAAAGTTGTTGAAAACTCTTGATATCTCCTCCATCATCATCATCATCATCATCATCATCATCATTTAGTTCAGTGGTTCACAACCTTCCTAATGCCGCGACCCTTTAATACAGTTCCTCATGTTGTGGTGACCCCCAAATTTCATTATTACAAATTGAACATAATTAAAGCATAGTTATTAATCACAAAAACAATATATAATTATATATGTGTTTTCCAATGGTCTTAGGTGACCCCTGTGAAAGGGTCGTTTGACCCCCAAAGGGGTCGAGAACCACAGGTTGAGAACCGCTGATTTAGTTGGTTCATTGTCTTAGCACACTGTCTGCTAGCCTCTTAGGTTTACATTTAATGACTTCAAAAGCTGGTAATTTTGCTTAATCCTTCCTTAAATATCTGCTCTACAGACTATTTATTAACATTATTATTATTTACAATAGGGAATTTTACTTTTTCTTGAACATTCTAATTTTACATGACTATTCTAATTTTATATGCTTATATAATTTTACATTTAGAAGAACAGAGTTTTTTAAAAAATAATTTCTCTCTAGAAATGAAATTTTAAAATATGATGGGCACAAAATGAAGAAAATGAAGTCTTAAATAATAACTGGTAATATTTCTGATGAAAAACTACATTGACACCATTTGTTGAAGAGGCTTTCCTTTCTCCATTGTATGTTTTTTAGTCCTTTGTGAAAAATTAGTTGCCTATATACGGATGGGTTTATTTCTAAGCTCTCAATTCTGTTCCATTGATCTATGCATTTATGCTTCTGCCAATATCTTACTGTTTTTATTATTGTAACTTTGTAGCATAATTTGAAGTAAGGGGAGTGTAACACTTCCAGCTTTGTTCTTTTTCCCCAGGATTGCTTTGGCTATACATACAAATTTGAGGACTATTTTCTCTGTTTCTTTGGAAAAAAAAATCCATTGGGAAGACATACAGATGGCCAACAGGAACATGAAAAGAAGCTCAGCTTCACTTATCATCAGAGAAATGCAAATCAAAATGACAAAGAGATATACCCTCACACCTATCAGAATAGCTATTATCAATAAGACAAAAATAACAAGTGTTGGAGAGGATATGAAGGAAAGGGAATCCTTATACGTTGCTGATGAAAATGTAAATTGGTACAGCTTCTATGGAAAACAGCGTAGAGGTTCCTAAAAAAATTAAGAATGGAGCTGTCATATAGTCCAGCAATCCCTGTTCTTGGTACCTACTCAAAACATTTGGACACATTTATTCATAAAGGTATATGTACCCCTATGCTTAATGCAGCATTATTCACAATAGCCAAGACATGGGAGCAACCTGAGTGTCCTTCGATGGATGACTGGATAATTAAGATGTGGTACATATACACAATGAAATACTGCTCAGCCATAAAAAATAATGAAATATTACGATTTGTGAAAACATGGATAGATCTTGAGAGTATCATGCTAAGTTAAATAAGTCCAATAGAAAAGGACAAGAACCATGTGATTTCATTCATATGTGGGATATAAAACAGAAAGCAACAAATGAACAAACTAATTGACACAGAAAATAGTATGGTGTTTACCAGAGGAAAAGGGAGGTAATGAGAGGATGAAGAAAATAAAGGGGACCATATATATGCTGAAAGAAGGAGACTGGGCTTTTGGTGGTGAGCACACAACGCAATATACAGAGGTTGTATTATACAATTGTACACCTGAAACATATCATGTAATTAACTAATGTTACCCTAGCAAATTTAAATTTAAAAAAGAAAACCTACCTTAAATTAAAATAATTTATTATGATATTAGTAATTATTGGGAATTTAGAAATAGGGAGAGAACTATTTAATGCAAATAAAATGATCCTGTATCATAGCACATTATATGAAACAACCATTCAGAGTCAACATAAAACCTTGAAGAGATCAACATATACAAATAATCAGTTTACCCTTAAGAAACAAATTTACTGATGATCTAATCAGGACAGTTAGATCAAATGCCTTATTTTAATATTTGTACCTCACGGAAATGTATCCAATACTTTCAAAAATCATTACAGATTCTTTAAAAGAACAAATAAGTGATAATAGTAAAAAATCATGCATATATACATAAATCTTTTCAAGAACAAATTTTCTCAGTTTGGTGCTTACTAAATCCTATGTAACAAATTCTAAAGATTAAGATGCATGTAAATAAGAGGCAAAGTAGATTATGCATGGCAGGTAGTGAGACTTTCATGAATAATATTTCATTAAACAGCCTTGTTTGATTAAAAACCACACCATGATTTTTGGCAAAAATAGCATATTACTCAATAAAATAAGCTATGTCTGTCCATATTTCTTTGGGGGGAAAGCCCTTTTTAGAAGTAGAATGTTTGCCTATATTTGATTCCAAACATTTAGTACAAAGCAAATTAATTAATAGAAGTCATTTTTGAACCATTTGTGAAGTTTCCTAGTAATTCATTAATTTGTAGCCAATAATTTCATTAACAAATGATTAAACAAAATGTATTAGAACTGGGGAAAATAAGCTTACTACTAGGAACCCACATGCTATGCTTAAGGATTTTTTTAAGATTATAAATCAAAGAACTATTTGTTTTTAATATTAGATATAATTAAGACTTTAGAAAAATATGGAACATGCATATACTTCTTCAACACTAAAACATTAACTCAGGAAGCATATGATTTTGTTGGGTGAGAGGTGAAGACATTTGTTTTTATAAGTTTAAACTCTCATTTGTGGAATAATAAATCTGAATATTATGAGAGAAGCATATCCAATGTTTATAATATCTGAATTTAGCAATTACCATCAAAACACTTGTTTATTTCAATAAATTTAAAAGTGTCTACCATCAATTCCCAATCATACATTTTTTTATTAGCCACAGCAAAATGTTAGTGTCTAATCTGCTTTCTTTTACTGTTTGCTAAAACAAGAAAGTAAGGTAAAATCTGACTTCAAAATGATACATACTATACTGAAAAGTAATTTAAAATGTCTTAGAATTTTTAATTGTTTTCATTATTTGGATTTCATTTGCTACACCTGTATTATAAGTTAATCACATCCTAAAAATATTTTAATAATATTATGTTTTAAGTATGTAAAAAATAAAAATGTTTTACATATATATTTTTATAATTAGATAAAAGTAAAAGTCTTATTTGTGGAAAACAAAGAGAGAAATAAAAATGAAGCAACCAAATGCCAATCGTGATGTTTTAATTCATTTGCAAATCAAATGCTAAACTTTAGAATTATACTTTTTTTTCAGGCAAAACATATTTAGAACAATTTGTGTTTGGCTTAAAAATGCATCTCTAATTTGCTGTCTTAGTCCTCATTTTGATTATCAGAGTATAGATGGACTAGTTATAGTCCCATCGTGTTTAATACAGCAAGTAAAAATGTTAATACAGCAAGTGAAAACATTATATATAAATTATGAATAGCCCTAACCGGTTTGGCTCAGTGGATAGAGCGTCGGCCTGTGGACTGAAGGGTCCCAGGTTCGATTCCGGTCAAGGGCATGTACCTTGGTTGTGGGCACATCCCCAGTGGGAGATGTGCAGGGGGCAGCTGATCGATGTTTCTCTCTCATCAATGTTTCTAACTCTCTATCCCTCTCCCTTCCTCTCTGTAAAAAATCAATAAAATATATTTTAAAAAAGTATAATTATGAATAAAAAGCTATTTACCTGCATGGAAATCTATTCCCACAGCAAAAGAGGTTCCAGATATAGGCATCAACGCATCCATTTTGTCACTTGGTTCCAGAGGTATGCCCCTGATTCCTTCGTGGACGGAGTACATAAGAAATGACTCTATACCTAATTGGAAGCAAAAAAAGAAAAAAGTCCAAAATGAGTAGTTAACATCAAAACCATTCATTAACACTATTTTTCTTTTAATTTTAGAGGATGTTTATTAAAGCTGGGGACAGTGAACAAGGAAGGGCTGGGGAAATGAGCCGAGGCTGGGCTACTTTGACTCACTAAGAACTCGGAGAAAAGGGGGCCTTGGGGACAGGGTCTGGGGGTTGCCCGAGATGAGCTGCCCATGCCCATTGCTGCTCTGGTTGTAAGCCTCCTGGGGTCCCTTAGAGGTTAGGAGGTGTGTGTGTGCCTGTGGGGGAAGAAAGGGTGGGAGGGGAAAGGTGGGGGGGGTGCCTGGGAAGGAGAGCACTTCCATTAGCACTATTTTTAATGATCCAAACTTCTTTCATAAAATAATGTATTAATCCACCTTCCCTTTTTCCACTGTATGCTACATTTCTGACAAGTTAAAAGGTAGTTGGATTAGTTGTTCTAGAACTTGAGGAAACGTCAGCATCTCCCGGAGGAATGGTTAAAGCCAATCCCCGGACTCCAGCCCGAGGGCCTGAGAATGTGGATTTCTAAAAGGTAGGGAAGATGCTGCTGATGTGGGAACCATAAACAGTGAGGTAGGTAATACTTGAAAGCATACCTGGCCTCACAATCAAAATTCACCCTCTTCTCAAAAGCCCGAGCATCTCCTTGCTTCTGTATGATAGATTTTGATTGTAGATAACTACATCAGTTACCTTTCTAACAGACTTCTTAAATCTCTTTAAAACTAGAAGCACACCAAGTGCTCAAATTTTGCTAAGATTTTGCTTTTTCAGTATCAAAAGTACGTCCTAAAATGAGCACACATATGTAAGGTGACTACCAGAAGTCCTCATGATGAAGCTTATGAATTTTTCTAACAGGCCAGAAAATGTTAATGTATACAGATTTTCTTACTAAAACAAAAATTCCTAGGTTTAGATATGTCTTCACCACGGCAGAGTTGTGTGACTTGGACAAATTAGTTAATTTTCTGTGACTCAGTTTCCTCATCTCTAAAAACGGGAACAAGAAACCTACTTCACAAAGTTATGATGAGGATTCTATGAATTAATGTGTTAAGGTAATGAGAGCAGTGCCTGCACATGAATGCCACATAAATATATGATTTAAAATGAAAAATATATGCTGGCATTAAATATTTCTCATAAAAATTTGAAAATTTGTTTAATAAAATTAAGTTATAATCACTGGATAAAAATATTATTCTAGAACCAAAGCCCTTTGGGACTAGTAGAACTAGAGTCTGAAATAAAAAGCAGAAAGATATATTTATTCACTTCCTGTTCTTCTGAAGCATTCTCCCACAGTTAAGTAAAGCTGAGAATTTACATGGTCTCTGGTACTTTCTCGTAAATAGTTGAAAGAAAGTAAATATAAATTTTTTTTTTTACTTTCAAATAAACTACATCCCAATTAGATTGTAACTGTAGCAAACCAACCACTGTTTTTTACCTATTTTTAAGTTTCAGGTGGCTTTGACTGGATTTGGTTAAAGGTGTGATAATAAACTGTAGTTCCTGAAAATAATTAAAAACTTAGAAAGTTTCACAAGAACAGAGATACTGAAAATATTGTAGATACATTTGAAATTCTACATATGGTTCTTATTAGGGATACTACTGTCCTAATAAAAAGCTAATATTATTGTTTTCTAATTTTTATCTGATTTTGGTTGCCTAATACCTGCAGGGATAAGTAAATGAATCAGAACTAAAATTTTTCAAAACCTTATACCTTGACATGACATGCGGTTCTTTTGGAGATAATATCCCACTGTACACATGCAAGTCCTTGTAGTTTCAGAGGTTGGTAAACAAAGCTGAGAGCATCCACCATTATTTAGCTGGCAGGAATTGCTGCCTGCATTGATGAGAAACAAAGGAAAGTAACAAAATTAAAAAAAATATATATATCATTTGCTGTCAATAATTTGAACAAATATTGTGCTATTGTTGATTTCTAAATACAGTTGTTTTCTATTGAATGATTTGAAGGAGCAAAATACAGTTGAAAACTGCCCTTCCAAAAAGATAAATGGAGATTCAGAATATGGCATACTGATTAAAGACAATAATAACATAATCAATTTATAGTACCAATTTAACTTGGAATACAATTCAGTGTTGCTAAGACCAGATATTCATTGTTCCCAACACACACACACACACATAGACGCACATACACAAAAAGGTGACCTGATAGATGTGTTAGCTAAAGATACAGTGGTAACCATACTGCAATATACTAATGTACCCAATTAACACACTGTACACCTTAAACTTATACACTGTTATACTTCTATTGTATGTCAATAAAAATAAATTTAAAAATAAATTAAAAATAAATAGTCATTAAAATTTTTAAGTTAAGGGAGATATATGAGAAGATTCATAGTTACAGAGCAGCAAAAGAAAATTGATTTGTGACGAATACTGTCATAGACTTTTGTAATATTTTAAGATCACATAAACAGGAAATCTTTATTTTTTTACTTCTAAGTTTTATTTACAACTCTACAGGTACTTCATTTTCAAGAATACTTTAATCAAAAAAAGAATACTTTAATCAAATGTCTCAAATAAATAGCTGTTAAATTATATTATTAACTCAACTCAAAGATTATGCCATTGAAAGAAAGAAGGTATATATAAATTTGATTAATTTTTTGAAAGCAAGAGAATAAATTTTGCCATTCCTAGAAACATAATTCTCCCCAAATGTGTTTAAAGCACACCCTCTAATAGTCATCTAATTAACTGGCATATTAACTCTCATATTTGTATGTAGTGGCAAAAACAAATATTAGTCAGATAATCACAGGTAGGCATTCAATGAAGATGTTCCATTGCATTTACTAGATTCCGTGTGTTTGTTAAAGCTGATAGAGTGAAGTTAAGTAATTTACAATCTCACCTAGTAAGTTCATTAAATATTCAATTTTTACAATAATTTTATTATTCTAAGACATGCAATGTCATTTACTGGATGTTCAAGCTCTGATATGAAGTGAAATAAATCCAGTGAGAATTACAAAGCATGATGAAAGCTATATATCAAAATTGCTCTATAGATAATTCAAAGTACCAATGCAATTCATTATTTCTGCTCTCCTGAAGTAAAGACAGTATGATGGAATTTAATTGTCAATCAAACCTGTCATGAGTTCTGTCATTTTTGAAGTATGAAATACCCTCAATTTGGGAGATTTCTCATCAGGAGACCCACCATATTTGAACACAGTTGGAATAATAGCAATATATATTGTATTATATTTATTTTTTATAAATAATAAAATTAATCCAAGTGAACAACTATGTTGTACAACAATACATACTTCATGTATAATTTATTTAGTCTCTAAGGGAAAATTGATAGTGGAGAGAAAAATAAAAAAGAAAAGGAAATTAGTCATTATTAACAATATGTATCTTTGCCAATTAAATATGGATTTGTTACAGGAAAATATTAGAGTAATATTTAAAAGTGACAACTTAGGTAATAATTATCTAGCAAGTATGAAATACTAGCTTGGCTTAATATTTTGTAATGATGCTGATGTTCAAACCTCATGCCTCAATTCTCTAGTGGGAGCTAGAAATTCCACTTCACTACCAAGAAGTCTCAGCACTCCAGTGATCTATGTCAAAAATAATAAATGAAGTAGCTAATTGTATTTTGAAATTCAAAGAGGTAGTAATGTTAACATCTTAAGGAGTCCTAAATTGTTCATATTTCATACTAATGAAGCTTTTAAGCTACCTGCTGTAATTCTGTTAATGGGATTATCTTTAATACAGATGCTTTTATCAGCATATTATTCTTTAAAAATACTATTTTCCCTGCACTTTAAGCTTACTCATATTATACCATTAATTTCTAATTCCTAGAGGATCTTGTCAGTTTGGTAACACTCTCACAGGTGTAGAATACCCATCTTTTTCTATATAATCAAATCCTTAAAAGACAAGAGAAATCATGTTACCATGAACAAAATGAGCCAAGAATATTACACTAAAATTTTTCTCCTAGAAACTTTACTGAAACTGTATCTAGAAAAATTAGATGTAATATGTTAATTTACAAATTCAAACAAAACACATACTTGCTCACATTTAGAAAAAGTGAATATAGATTTTTAAAAAACAGTTTAGAAATATATTTTTCTGTCTCTCATATTTTCTAATGTGTGTTTTCAGATATAATCTCTTCAAGTATTAACTAGGAATTGAAGTTTATCATGATACTATAAGGTTTTATACTTATTTATTGTATTAAAATCCACACAAATGTCATGATATTTTATTGAGTACCAGAGGTTTTTTTCCCCAATTAATAATTTACTCCCCTCGACTTGAATGCCAGTTACGTTGTTTATTTTGATACAGAAAATGTTCCATTATGAAACTGCTAGTGAAAACAATGCTGCTCATTATTATAGACAATGGCCGAAATAAATGTCAGAACCAAATACAGGTTTGTGCTGATGAGTTTGGGTGCTGGTGTCTTCTCAACCATGAAAAGAACAAACACAGTAATCACTTCAGGTGGTTTTTTACAGCAATGGCTTTCTCTTAAAAATGTTTCATTTATTATAGTTTATGAAAAAGAAATATGATTCCTGCTGTTCCTGTAAAAAAAAAATGATTTCATGCCCAAATTTGGCCCATTCTTTTTCCAGGGAAAGCAACCATGAATCTGGTCTTCATTTGTCCTCGATGTGCAGGCCTGTCTCTCAATTGGTATCTCCAACAAATCCTGCCTCCTCAGTGATTGTCAACCGAGTACTAAATTGATGATCCCCTTGGTTCCTTATTCTTCCCTCTCCTCTTCTCTGCTTGGGTCTACATGCCCACCTACCTTAGATACAAAATACATTTTCTTGACTTTTTTCCTAGGACTAAAGATACATGAAGATAGCGATTCTCGTGACAGTGACTATATTTTTTTTCTCTGAAGGGAGTTCTGCTAATGTCACAGATCATGGAGCAAAAACTAAGAAAGGACTAGCAGGTGTGGGGCTGTCCTGGCTGGCATCCCTGGACTAAGGGCCATTTGGGCAATGTGACAAGTCCACCTATGTAAACCATCTGCTAGTTCTCTCACTCCGTTTCACTGCACACCATTTGGACAAGCAAAAACAAAAAAAGCAAAATGTTTAGAGCCAATAATGCTGCGCTTTTGGATATGGAATCCTTATGTCAACCTGGTCCATTAGAAGCCGACTAGTTCATTCCATTTCTGGGCTTAATTGTACATTTCATATATTTTGCTGGGATTTTTTTCCCCTTAATCTTATATTTTGTAATCAAAAACCGAGTAAGACCCGCTTCGAAGACCTGACGACATGATGAATCCCTGGGCAGCTCTGCTAATGTTTTGAAAGCTCATTATAGACCTTGTATGAAAGTAATTTCTTCTCTAGTATTAAAGAGAATTTGACTTTCATCCCTTTTTATGTTAGAAGAAAAAATACGAACCGTCAATTGTTGAATTGAGAAAATAATATGAAAAAAAGAGAACATTATATATTCAGAAGGCGGCACGAGCTCATTTCAGTGCGACGTACCTTGCTGTGCCGCTTTATCGTACACTTTCATATGTACCACTCCAGAAGTCTTATTTCTCAGGACAGTGGGGTTCCTTCCGTCTCTTTTGCTGCAGGTTCCCAGCTGAGCTAAGTTGTGGTCTGCCCACCATAGTTTCTTATCTATAAAAATGAAAAGGTTTTTTATGGAACAGATAATCATCTTATTTAATAATAAATAGCTATTAAACTATAATGCTTTCTGTTTTCTTTTATTATAGCCTCAATCTCTGTTTTCTAAGAGAAGCGGTAAAATCACTTTTATCTTTAAAAATGCAAATCATAGTGACATTTTAGTGTTTAAATTTTCCTCCTCAGACAAAATACCCAAGCAAGTACAAAAAAGATTGTTTTTAACTTGCTGTTTAAAGTGTGTAAGCTTTTAACCATTAGTACTTTCCATTACTGGGTTCTTTACAGTTATAGTAATCTCTTTTAATTTTTTTTCACAGTTTATGCCTCTTTCTCCAAAATTTTATTACTCTACGTTGTTAAGTCATATTGAGTGCTCACTTAAGCAGAGACTCTGCAATGTCCCACAGATAAAAAAAATAGTCCTGACCTTTAGAATACTAGCATTTTACTGAAAATCACACATTTATTATTATATCATTTTATATTGTCATAGCAAACCTGTCAGAAAACTATTATCCTTCTCTTTTCACCGATAAACAATATAAGATATATCACTTCATATACATTAATTTTCTTAATAATTTACATATTTTGTCTTCCTGTCTATAAAACCTGTGCTCTTTCTAAGACTCCAGCCTGAGTACACTGAACAAAAATTTAAGGTAATGCAATGATTTAAAACAAAGTTATTAATTTAAAGTTTTTGGATACATTTTATACTTTTCAACAAGAATCAAGTGACAGTTGAGATCAAATCAATTTCCACCTAGAAGTGAAAATAAGGTTATTTATGTCTGCGAACAAAACAATATAGTCTTTACCTTCAAGGAACAATTATTTTCATTTAAATGCCAGGATATTTTGACTGAACCAAAGCATAGCTTCAGGTATGGCAAGAACAGTAATAATGCAGATGTCACAATAATCATCCCTTCCTGCATCTGATTTCGTGCAATGCACAATTCTAAACAATATCGGTAATTCATTCATTTAACTTTCATAATAATTCTACAAGGTAAGTCCTACTACTATTAAATCATTTTAGGGTTAAAAACACTGAGGCAAAGAGGGAGTAAGTAGGTTTCCCTGGGTCATAGAATGAATAGTGGCCCCACGTTATGGACCAAGCACTGATTTCAGCCTATTAGTTAATCTCCTTTCCATGGAAAAAGTTTAGTGTTCTCTCCCTTGACATTCAGATATGGCACCTAGAGTAGGACAGTGAAGTTGAGTAGCCTATTCACTTATGCTTTTACTTGTACAAAAATTTGCATAAGAATAGCAACAGCCCCTGTGAACAAAAAAAAATTGTAGAAATTTTGACTGGAGTAAACATGTGTTTTTGCTTCTATTTCTTCCACTATACCAGTGTGATAAAAATGTAGAATCATAAAAGATTTAAAAAAATGAACCCATATAATAAACAAGAAAATTAAAGCATATATAGCTTTATATGGAGAAATGGGCAAAGTTGCAACATGAAAAGAGCTACAGAGGAATGGAAGCCACCACTCTCCACAGAATTCTGGATGACCAGGATTCCAGCCTATAAATAAGAGGGTGAAAGCAAAAAGAAAGATTAAAAATAGAGTGAATGAGTGACATTACTTTTACAAGTAATGCCACTACCATTTCCCCCACTCCCTGTCCTGAGACCAAACATATGAGGACCACATTTTCAAGTAATCCTCCAGCAAAAAGAGTAGAAAACATGAACGTGTGTGTGTGTGTGTGTGTGTGTGTGTGTGTGTGTGTGTGACATTTTAGACTAAGGTGCTTAAAGAAAACCTTTTTCTTAACTTCTCAGACAGAAAAAGGTAAATAACTTTCAAAGGAGTACAAATTAAACATATGTCAGACTTCTTTTCAACTATGCTAGAAGCAAGAAAACAGAAAAGCAATATTCAAAATTATAATCAAGCTAGAGTTCTACACCAAACGATTAACTAACTGTATAGATTGTATGTGAGGGGAGTAGAGGAGTATACGTAGGGGGTGGGGGTTTATCTCAAAGTTTCAAAGTTTATCAGCCATCAACTCTTAAGAAGAAACTGAAAGTTGGATCTTGAGCAAAATAAGTCAAAATAATGCCATGGAATCTAAGAAACAGAAAATTGAACAAAGCAAGATGACAAAAGGAAGCTCCAGAATAAATCATATGCATTAAACATAAGGAAAAAGCTGTTCACACTGGATCACGAGACTGGAAACACTGGGAGTAAGATCTCCAGGGAAAAAATAAAAAGAATGAGAGAGAAAGAGATGGAAACAGAGATAGAGAGATATAAGGAGAGAGAGAGAGAGAGAGAGAGAGAGAGAGAGAGAGAGAGAGAGAGAGAAAGAGAGAGAGAGACTAAAAAATAAGTACATGTAATTCTACCCTTTAATTCTAATCTGTCTTATAATCCTAATAAATGACATTTACTTGTTTTCAATTTTAAAGTCAGTCTTTAAACAAAGCACAGAGGACTCACTGTGATTATAGTATATAACATTAATGTTAAAAACATTAGTTATATATATATATATATATATATATATATATATATATATATATATATATGTGTGTGTATATATATATGCCAAGCGACTGGAACAATGGAACAACTGGAATGACCAGAACGACCAGTTGCTATGATGTGCACTGCTGGCAGGCATCCAGCCCAATTGGGGCCCTTATCAGCCCCCGTCAAACTCCCTTGGCCCCTCCACCCGGTCGACCCCACCTCAGATCAGCCCCTGTTGGTGCACTGGGCCTCTACTGTAAAAATAAAAGTGGAGTTGTCTAAAGATTTAACATGCAAAGCAAGAAGAAAATGTGGTTAGAAAGAAGAAAGAATATCATGGAAAAAATGGAGAGTCATTTTAATAGAAAAGTAAATAGAGATTGAGAAAATTTGTTTAGTTTAGAAACCTTTGAAAGGAGAAGAATAGGGGTAACATAAATGATTGCATATAAGCAAATTAATGCATGATATCTAAAGTTGATAAATAAAAAATTAGTTGTTTTGACATATCACCTAGAATGTTTGCTAGTAACCCCAGAAAACTAATAATAGACATAAATAAGAGATTTACCTGTGAAATGTGACTAGGGGTGAAAAGGTTGAATTAGGAGATATTGCTGTTGATAACAGTTTTTTTATATTACTTGCTTTATTGTTATATTATTTCAGAAATAAAATTTATAAAAAATGTGGACACAATCAATAACTAATAAGAATTTACCTAAAGTATGGAATTCAGAGTCTAATGGACTGACCGCTCTCTGACTCAAGAAAAAGGCTATGCTGGTTAGGTTTTTAAAGGAGCTCACGTTGAAACACAACACACTTCTGTCTTCTATGCCAAAACACTTCACCACTAGGACACAGATGACTGAGTGAAGCTAAGAGCTCTAACTCTGAGAACCAGGGATCTCTTCTTTTGAACCATCTCTGAGTGTATCACTTAGGGGATGAGGATGATCTTTCCTTTCTCAGCCCCTAAGACCTAATGTGTCTTGAGCAGCAACTCTGCCTTGGTCGGCAAACTGTGGCTCGCGAGCCACATGCGGCTCTTTGGCCCCTTGAGTGTGGCTCTTCCTAAGCTTTAGGAGTACCCTAATTAGGTTAATAACAATGTACCTACCTATATAGTTTAAATTTAAAAAATTTGGCTCTGAAAAGAAATTTCAATCATTGTACTGTTGATATTTGGCTCTGTTGACTAATGAGTTTGCCGACCACTGCTCTATGGCAACAAGGGGTAAGTGATTTTTTAAGATAATATCTCTCTCCGCAAATTCTCAAGTTTCAGTCAGCTAACATATAACTTATCATGACCCTGGATCCTATCCATTTAAAACTGAACATGTTAACAAATCTCTATGGCAAAATAATAAAAATGTTATTTCTGGTTGCATTGTTCTTATTGCTACAGGAGATTAATGAAAAAATAAGAAGAAAAACACTTCTCTCCTTAACCACTAGAAGGTAACCACCCTGTGGCAGACTGAAGGTATTATCTAATGGTCCAATTATATTTTTATGGGTATTACAGAGTTAGGAAATAAGTAGGAGAAGGACTGAACACAAAGAACCATGGCCTTGAGGACAATGACTAAAGAATCCGGTGCCCATGAAGGACTATGAGGATTTGGATAACAGCAGTGACCAGCATGAAACAGTGACCAGCATGAAACTAGGATCACAAGTATCCTGGAAAAACTAGTTAGGTTCATCTCTAGTTCTTGATCAAGATTCTTCAAACTACCTAATAATATACTGCCTCAAATACAAAATTCTCTATCAGGTTTTTAAATCACTATGTAAACTACATTGATTCTACCTACTGACAGGTCTTTTCAACCTCCCTTTCATACATGCATTCAGCCTACTCTTATCACATCATAATATTCCACTAATGTTGATCATCTATTATTTGTAAAGCACTAACTTTGACAATGAAAACATGACAGAAGACAATACAAGAAGATATCTGCCTTTATAGATTTATGTTCTTGTGAGAGAGACACACAAGAAATAAAGAAATAGAAAAGAAATAACTGAAATTCCTATAAACCAGTAGGAAAAAAACAAAAATACTTATTGAAAATGGGCAAAGGGCTTGATTAAACATTTATCCAAAGAGATGCAAACAGCCAACAGATATATGAAAAGATACTCAACATCACTAATATCAGAGAAATACAAATCAAAACCACAATGAGATATCACTTCACACTTGTTAGGATGACAATCATCATTAAAAAAAGATAACAATGCTGGAAAGGATGTGGAGAAATAAGAACTTTTGTACACTGTTGCTGGGAATGTAAAATGGCACTGCCACTACAGAAAACAGGATTACTCAAAAAATTAAAAACTGAGCTACCATATGACCTAGCAGTCCCCCTTCTGGGTATGTATCCAAAAGAACTGAAGTCAGAATCTTGAAGAGATATTAGCACTCCAATATTCATTGCAGCACTATTCATAATAGTAAAG